ACTATGAACATCTAACAAAGAAGTATGGTGCAATAGCAATAGACGCTCATTGTTTAGTGTACTGTGTTTCTTTTGTTAGAAGTTGGTAGTGACATATTAGGAGGTTTGAGTTATGCATTTCAATTACCTAAATTCTGTCTTCCCAGATGCATACATTGTGTGTCCTGCTTGATACGTGTGATGTTTTCATCGGACTCCAGTTAAGACATTTTCTAACAGTGCCTCTAGTCAGACCTATATATTCACCATTCACGATTCTATACCCTTTAACTTGGGTTGATTGCAAGGTTGGCTTTCACTTAATTCACACCAGAGGACATGCAAAAACAGTAACTATTTTCTGTGACTGTTTCTTAGAAGGAAATCTAAACACACCATTTCTGACATGTACATTCGCCCCAAGCTACAGTAACCCTAAGAGTCCTCAGTCCTCCAACAGGTGAAGGATTGAGGAGTGTTAGGTTTAATTGTACACATACAGAGCTTTGAAGTAGTCTGGTCTGGTTGAACATGCGGAGCCCTCAAGTGGCCACGGGCCATGGCCGGGCGTTGTAGCAAAATATCATTCTGTAACTTTGTCTCAAGAGTTGAAAAAGACAAAAATGCATTCATGCACAAATCTGGATTATTAAAATGACTCTTTAGGGTCATCGTTTATTAAGTCCAACTCCGTAACGAACTCTCACCACAGTGTCTAGTCTTTTTAAAAGATGCAATTTTCAGCTGAAAAATAATCCTGAAAATGGGACAACTTTCCTTGCGATGCTATCAATATCAAATGTTTAATTTTGGTGTGGATCACAATGCTTACCAACGATTTGAAACAGGAAGGTTGCATAAGGAGATTTTACGACAGCATAGCTAGGAATCAAGGTTCCATGTGAGCAAGTGCAAGATGCATCATAAATTAACTATCAACTATTATTGCAGGTTTAACAAAAAAGCCTGTCATAGAACTTGCTTTATGTATGCTTCTTACGTTCACAGCTTGAGGCGTCCTGTTGCCAGTACGTGAAGTTGCCGTTAAATTCACAGATGGCCTCACTGGAACCAACTAAGCGGTAGCCATCAATGCATCCCCAGTGGCAAACACTGCCATACACACGGTGACACTCGCCCACAAACTCCCCAAAGAAAGGTGGGGAGAGGACAGGACACTTGCGCTCTATGAAAAGTTGGAGAAAAACCAAAGACAATGCAAATGACCAAGGCCTCTGAAGATTGAAACTAAAACCAACTTGCAGGAAACTCCGCAATCAAACTCTAATTTTGTCTGAATTTTACTGACCATAAACTTTGGCACCCGCCACACCCCTTTATCAACATCGTTATAACTATGCCGTGGGTGCAATCAATGATAAAATATTGTTTGAACTGTATTATTTAATTATCAGTTTAATTATAAAATGTTGAATTTTCTGTCAGAAATAATATTTATTCATTAAATATTAATTTTCTATTATTATTATTAAATTTTGGCTACCTGCCAAAGTTGCCCCAAACCACAGGGTAACTTTGGCAGCAGTTCTTGAGGCTCATTCACCAGTGGAAAGAAACAAAATGGGTATGAAATCTTACAGGATTATACATAAGGCCCCATATGACAGAAATATCAAATTAATTAAGTAAAAAAATCTATTTGCAAAAAGACAGAATAATAAGGAAGAAAAACCTGCCAAAGTTCCCCGGTTTACGGTACTTCAACAATGATGCAAAAGAAAACCAAACTGTCAGGAACCTGCTACCGAGTTCTCTTTAAGTTATAGATAATAATAAACTTTGAAGCTTTTCATGGTGAAGGTGGCAAGTTAAGTAAAAAGGTGGGGAGTAGCACCATGCAACCAGAGAGCATCTCCATGTCTTTTCAGAACAATGCATACTTGCACAACAGATATCCATAGATGGTGCTACCGCAAACCTTTTTTACTTAACTAAAATCCATGAATTAAACAATAGCTGCCGATATTAAGCATTTAACTGTGGGCAAATTTACCCTTAAAATCACTCACCATTCACTTCCATGACGAAACTACATGTTGCTGAATTACCAGCCGTGTCCATGGCAACGCATGATATCTTGTGTTTGCCAATTTCAAACAAACCTGACCCAGGGTTACAGGTTACTGTAGGTGTAACACGATCATTGTCCACGGCAGAGATGGACAAGTTGACCTGTGCAGAAGTTGAGCCCTTATCGACGTATACTACTTTGACAAAGGGGCAACTGGTAAAGAGAGGATTTTGGTGATCTATAGGGAGTGGAAACAGGGAAAGTGAAATGAAGTCAAGTTAAAGAAAACAATTCCTTGAAACAAACTTATAATATGATTTACAATAGAATCATAAATATGTACATTGGGCTGGTATGAGAAGTTAGCATGTGTCAACTTGTACGTATAATTGAACAATTTATTTTAAATGGTCTTAATATTCCCAACAAGATCGTACACAGAAAGTGATTTGAAAAAACATCATGAAAAATACAATTTGGCCAGATTGTCAGATGCCGCAGACTCATTATATGACGTTTTCTATCCTTTCACACAGATAATGCCCAACACTGTACTCACCCACACACTGAATATCGGAGATATTTTGGGACCACTTTCCACTGCTGAGGCAAGTCATGTACTCGCTGCCAGGAGGCTCAATGGCAAACCCATCCTGGGTGCAGGACAGGAGGCAGTTGTGGCCAAAAATGGGCTGGCCATAGCAGACATCAGGGGTGAGGATAATACCTGCCGAGGGGCTCAAGATAGGACACTCCGTTTCTACATGAAGAAAAGTAGTGAGATCCTCCGTAAGATATTTGCAACAAAACCCTTATCCTTCTGTTGGTGTCAATGCAGTGAAGCCAGTACATACCTCACGTGAAAGCGAACATGAATTAGTGACGTCAGACCAAATATTCGTGTTGCAAATTCATAAAACTTTTCAACTCATTTCAACTCGGTAGAAAATTCATTGTAAAGTTGCTGCGATGTCAAATCTCGCTTCACTTTCGCATTCACCTGGAGTACGAACTGGCTTTTAGACATCAAATATTCAGGTAACTGAGGTCCTTCCTCTAAGAGTTAAATGGGTATTTCCATTAGATAGGGAGAAACCTGTGATGGACTGGCATCCCATCCAGGGGGAATAGAAATGTTTTCAATTCTTTTATACCAGTGAAACCAAAGATAACCACAAGCTTGATAGGCCAAATGGCTTGGAACGCTGACTTCTAGAATTTTGTAATCACCGAAACCATTTCACAAAAGAATAAAACCTACCATTACAGATGAGGTCTGTCCCTGACCAGGTACCATCTGCCAGACAACGAGATCTTCCGCCATCGCTACTATGTGCCTCGTAGCCATTCTCACAGTAGAAGGAGCACTCAGTGCCGTAGGGTTCAGAGGGGAGGCTGCAACCAGACTTGATGGAGTGGGGTGGGGCAGACTGGGCAGGGCATCTGACAACTAAATTAAAGGTTTAGTATGAAACGATGATGCAGAGACAGGTTAGTCTGCATAAAGCACAATTGGGATTTTGCTTAAACAGGCAAGGTAAGATAGCTATCAGTTTAATACACCAAGAAGTCTACAAGTAGCATTAGCTGCCATTAAAACTTTTCTATTTTTATCGGCAAACACTATTTTCCAAAACAACATTTAACCAACATTTTCCAATGACTTTCCTCAACCTGCAACTTGATATGCTTAAAATGAGAGGGAAAAGTTAACAAGAACAAAAAGGCTTTTTCAAAGCTTCCATCTCGCGTTAATCCTTTCTCATAAAGGAGTCTGAAAAAAAGCCTACGATTTCAAAAAAATGAACCAGTAAAAAAAAAATATCTGGTTTCTGGAGAGAGTGGGATGACTCACTGGTGCAGGCAGTAGTGTCTCCATCCCAGTAGGGTGTGTCATCACTGGTTAACTGACAGGTCCTGTGCTGCGATCCACTCAGGGTATAACCGGTGTTACACTCCAAGCTGCACTTGGTGCCAACGATGGGGCTAGGGTGGTCGCATCGAATGGAGCCAGAATTGGGAGCTTGGAGTCTCTTACAACGATGGACTGAGGAGTGATAGGGCAATAAGGGTGGTAGAGAGAGAGAAAAAAAAATGAAAGGACCCAAGGTGATACCTTCAATCCAGATTTGTAATAAGAGGTTAGTCAAAAGTAGACACAGGAACAGAGAGCAGGCTTTTTTAATGCGGGCACCAAAAGTGGCTTTTGTAAATGGAATGAATCACACTAGGAAACAGCACAGCGATTCAAAGACTTGGTTTAAAACTAGTCTTCAACTGCTAGCACCAGTTCTTCAAAAATGACCACGCCCATGACATCTTTGAAAGTTTCATTCATAAGGGGATGAATGTGTCACTATGCATGTTTGTGGACAATATACCCAACAAGTATAATGATGCTACACAAAGTGAGACATGAGGTTACGTGAGGACTGGCGGACTGGAAAGTGGAGAGACTATGATTAGGAATTTTGTAACTGGTTGGGTTTATAAGTACCTATGACTGTCACGATAACATCACACTGTGAAGACAGAGCAGTGGGATCCGTAGCAGTGTATGTGACCGTAGTTTTACCTTCTGGAAACCTGCTGCCGGGGGCCAAATGACCAACTTGCCTATTACAAAGCCATGGGAAAAAAATTATTTGAAACACGGAAGTTTCACACATAGCCACAGTTGACATCATGAGCTGCAAAAAAAGCAATTCACAGAGACTTGAAATGTCAGGGCCTGCAAGGGCTGCTTTCAGCATGCAACCAGCCCCCAAAATTATGACAAGTACACTGAATGTGGAGAGGCTCTTGTCTGAAACCTTGACAGTTTTATACTCATGGTTATTTTCAAAGTTTGGGCCTATTGGAAATGAATTGATTTGTTCACATTTGCTGGTGACTTTCAAGGCAGAACTTTCTACTGAGAAGTCTGCATGAAGTTTTATGATGAGTGCATATTCATATCATGTCATTTTTAACCGCTTCCTACTGGGTGGAATTTGCATATGCGGGACGAGTTCCCGGAATTTTCAAGATTTTCCATTTTTATAATTCTTCAAAAATTCATAACTTCATTTACTGGACGTTAACACCCACATGAATGACTGTCTGGTGGCTACTCTAATCTGACAAGCGACCTCCACTGACACCCAAGTATTTCAGCCTAGCCTGCCACTCAGTACAGAGAGCCCAGATTGTGTGGTGTTGCATAATTCCTTTGTTCCCGAAGTTGCCCCAGTGTCAGCATGCAGCGGTACTGTATTGCTCATCGTTGGAGTGCTGGAGCACTTTTGTCCCCACTAATAATCCGCGGGTGCTGAATGCCACAAACAGTGGTATACCGTTTCAAAACAATGACGGATTACCTCCGCTAATGCCAGATGAATAATGATTGCAATTCCCTACAGCTCGGTCTTTTGATCTGAGTACGGTCTTTTGTTACAAGGCTCAGTTCCTTTGTCTGATTTCGGGCAGCCTGGCTATGCGTACAAACCCAAGGAGTCCAGTACCGGAATCCCTGGTACCGAGTGGTTAAGGTCAATATAGTCAGTGCTTAGTCTAATAGTTTATTTTGCTGGAAAATTGGGCTAAAAGGAGAAAACAGACACAAGCGAAAATTAGTAATGCACAGATTCCAATCACCTGCTGACATTGACCCTTCCTGAGTTATCAGTGGCAGTTGGTTCATCGAATGTTACAATCTTAGAAGTAAGGCCAAAGTCACTCTTTACTGTTACCGACTGAGGGCAGGACACATCAAAGCTGGGAGGCTGTTCATCTGGAAATTGATGACATGAAACATAACAGAGATGTCACTCTCACATTAGCCCTAGTGAAGAGTGGCAGGCACAATTAGACAGTGCTATCGTGGAGTGAATTTGGAGTAAACACAAAGATCTTACCCAAATTAAAAAGCGCTCTCCTATCGTGTCAAACATATCTCAAACAGGCTTATTGGCTTGATTTGCATCCTGAAGGATTGAGGTGTACATTTGACACTGATTTCAGCACACGTTATCATAATAAATAAGTGCCACTGAATGCAATGCGTACAAAAAATGAAAACTTTAACTAATCACAAGTCTTTTTTCAATAAAATAACCGATTCAAAAGACAATGGTGCGAGAGGTTGTACAGGCACAACTGAAGACAGCTTACAGCTTCAAATTCAAAGTAAGGGCTCAGGGCACAGTGTGACCATATAACTAGTCCATGTTGAGACAGAGATGCAGATCATACCTAGACATTGAGTGGACTGAGGATTGTCCCAGTCACCGCTGTCGGAGCAAGTCTTGACCGCAGGTCCCTGCTGGAGGAAGCCATCACCACAAGAGAAACGACACACTGTATCATAGGGTAAAAGTGCATTCTGACGACAAGCAGCCGGATTCACCAATCCGTGTGGAAGAGAGAAGGCACCGGGGCATGTTACAGTCACTGTCAAAAAGAAGGTAACATACTGTCTGGGATTGATACAAAAGGTGACATGGAATACAACATGGTGACCACCAGCACAGAGCACGCTAGACCTAATTTCAGCAGTATGTGCACAAAACTTACAGTGTGTTCAAGAATTATATTATTTAATGAGCAAGTGTTGACTAAGTCTGAAAGCAATTTAAATACGGTGCAGCCGATTTCATGAAATGTGCCGTAAGTATGTATAAGCCTTGCACCATTTGTGCCTTGGCTGTGCAATATACTTACATGTACACGTTTGATTTCCCAAAATTTTGCTTAGCTGTGCCAAGTTTTCATATTAAATTGCTTGGACGAGGTCAGTAACTGCTTTTCTGATATGACAACAGTCATCAAACAGTCACTGAATTATCTTGGACTGCCATTTTGAAAAAGTCTTCATCTTTTCTTAATCAGAACCAGACAGAAAGTGTCACAGTTCTCTCACAGCCAAACAAGTTTTTCACTGCATACTTCTAAAACAAAGTTGTGCCTTTCTCATATAACCCTAGTTAGTTAAGTTCAGCAATGATGAGGCTTAACCGACACGATAAGCTGGTCAAACATTCATTTTTGCTTTGTTTGGCGCAACTTATGCCATCTAAAATGACTGAGTAAATTACGCCATACTTTGTTGCATAAGTCACAGACTTACACAGTGCATAAGATAATACATGCGATACACAATCAATGTAGTGTAAGTGATATATTACGCCATTACATAAAAGTTTGGTGAAATTGGTTCTTTCTTGGGCTTCTTTTTGAGGGCCCTGAGTGACTTTCTCTCCAGCAAATCCTGAATTTGCCTCTAGAAACTGTTCAACATGGAAATAAATCAACACTTAACGCAAACATGAATCAGAAGATCAGACTGGTGCATCACCTGTGCACTGGAAGTCAGGCCCACTCCAGGATCCATCTGCTTGGCACTGGCGGTCACGGTTTCTCTCTCCACTGGTTGACCTATGACCCAGGTCACAATGGAACTGGCAGAGATCACCGTAGGTGGCAGTGTCACCCCCGCAACCGCTGATGTAGCCATTGGTGACACTAATGTAGGGACAGGTGTTCGCTGTACGATTCATGAAAAAAGTTTAAAAATCAGACGGTAGGATCTCAAGGATCCAAATTTAACAGAATGTCTATTTATAAATATGTACCTTTGACACTGTAGATGTTCACACTAGAGATCTCACATAAAAGTATAGAGAATTTTCAGTCACATGATTTTTGACGGTCAGTGTTCAATTTCCACCGATGTCTCTCAAAATTGTTGCGTATATGAAATTGCTAAAAGAAATACAGAGAATTGAAAATTAATGTAAGTGCCTCAAATGGACGTGGAATATGCTTCCTGGAATGCCAATGCCTTTCATATTACCTCACACGAAAAACTTCCATCTGCTCCGAGCGTGATCAAAAGAGGGCGTGTTATTAAATGAAATTGACAGTCCTTTGATACAAACTCGCTGCATAGGTGTGCAAGTTTATGAATGTTTGACGTGGGGCACGCTGAGTACAGGCAACATGTTTATTGCCTGTATATGGTCTCGCATGTACGCTAAATGTGAACAAGAACCCAGTTGGAAAACTTCATTTGTACCAGTTTGTCTTTCTTTTGCCAGTAAGGACCGGTGCACTTCAATTCAGTGCGGATATAGTGCAGATTGAGATGACAAAAGTAGAATTTTTTCAAACCACAAACAACCTGATAAGCAATTGATAAATGTCACTGAATGCATAAAAATACTGATGGCATTAATTATACCTTCACATGTTGGTTGCTCAAGAGTCCAATATCCTTGACTGCTCTGATCGGTCAAACGGTTACACTGTCTCCTCAGAGTGGCGCCCTCTGTTGACAAGGTGTATCCTGCATCACAGCTGATTTCACAGATAGAGCCATAAACAGCGCCTTCTGTGCAGGAGCCATGGCCAGATGCAAGGCGCAGGGCACCATTCAGTGGGGCATTCAAGCCAGTACATCGAGTCACTGCAAAGAATCGTGAGTAAATGTGAAATTTTGATGACTAATTATCAAATGGCATTTTCTTATTGCCAACAAACAATCTCTTATAAAATTGAAGATTCCACAGTAAACCCCACTCCACGATAAAGTCAGATCACATCCAAGTGCTTATAACATTAAAATCTCACACCTAACTTAAATAACACTGTTCTTCCAAATGGATGGCTATATCTGACCTTTGGTCTCAAGTTGCATGGAGCAGGACCCTGAGTTGCCAGCACTATCAGCTGCTGAGTAGACCAGCGAGTAGGTCCCTTCTTCCAAGGTGCTAGGCTTGGGGCCAGTGACAGGTGCAGAGTTGATGGACTGCAGAACAGCCGTGATCTCACGGCCAGCATCAGTGGCCTGGGTCACAAACATAATTACTTAACATTTTGATCTAAAAATTAATGCTTACCTTGTCTTCATGAACAGGCAGTGGTATGAAAATGCAGGGAATTGGGGCAGTAAGCTAAGCCAATTCTTCATTTTATTAATTTTTTTAAGGCAGCATATTATAATAGCCAATGTTAAAATCTGCAGTTCAAACCATTAAGGCCAATCAGCATTGGTCTCTGAAACATCCAACATATTATAGCCAGGGTAGAATGTTATTCCATTTGTTAGTGTGAATGATACTAACCCTAGTAACAAACACAAGACTGTGATCTTAGACAAATGAAAAGGATTAACTTGCATATACGTACATGTACAAATTGCCATATAACCTGACTGATCGTTTGGCTCGTTCAAACATAAAGCAAAGCAACCACAAATGTGAACCTACAGACCTACCCTAACAGGTTCCCAATGCCAAGACACCGATACCATACTCTGCCCTTCTCCAGCAAAAATGATCTGATCCACGGGGCACTGCACAACTGGGGCTGTTACATCTGAAGTGCAAATGAAATGTATGTCAAATGAAATTTCATATATTATCTACCAACTTCCAAATTAACTCTCATAACTCCCATATACAGTGCTTGTATAAGAATCAAAATGATCTCAAATTAACTGCATAGGGCTAGATGCTCCATTACAGTTGGATCACTTCTCTTGATTGTGTGATTACATAACAAACCTCACTTGAGGCCAAATTATCAACATTGTCATTTTCACTATGACAAGCAAGGATTAGCACTTTCAGCCTTTTACATTAAATTGTAATACTAAAAATTAAAACAATTACAAGGCAAAATGCACTGGCAAGTGTTTGATGCAACACCAGTTGTCAATATATTTCATGAAAGTTTCAACTTAATAAACTATATTTAAAACTCTGCCATTGCTACTGTATTTGGAAATAATTTCAGCGCTCTAGTTTGACCATCACATGACATATATGGCAGCTAACTAGCTTATATGTACCTCTGCATTCTACACTGCTCCCATCCCATGTGCCGGATACCAGGCAGTTACGAGTTGCTGTGCCAAAGATGGTGTAGCCTTCATTACAGGCTGATGTACAGGTTGTGTCAAATGGTTGGAGACCGCCCGTGGTGACATTTTTTCCATAGCGGACGCAACTTGACTTGAAACCGTTGGTCGGGGAAGGAAGCAGTGGGCAAGTCACAACTGTACAGAAAAAACTTACATTTTGAAATAAATCAAAGGTGTAACAACATATTGCAGAAATCAAACCCTCAAACTAATCACTAATTTAAAGAAATTTTGCCACTTAATATCTAGCTTGCTTTTAAAACTATGGAAAAATGTGCCTCCATCAACTAGCTGAATTAGATTGTTCAATGCTAGAAACTACAAGAAAATTTGGGCAATGTTCTCTCACAAGGCAAGTCAATATTCAAATAGATTAAGGTTAACTGTTGATGAATCTTTCCAATGCAATACCACCATCTGGCAAATTTTTCCGAAATCATACTACCAGGAATACTTATTTTGATATTATTCAATTACATTTATTCATTTGTCAAGAAACAGCTAAAATGTGATGAAGTTGATGACAGTCCGTTCATGAACAAACAAAATTAATGCCAAAAAGTAACAGAACCATACTGCACCTGTACACGTTATTGTTCCACCTGACCAGACTCCTTTATCATTGCTATCACTCTGACAAGTTCTCTGAGTTGAAGTTGTTGGCGTGTATCCACGATTACATGACAGGGTACAGGCAGTACCGTACGGCTCACGCTCTCGGGAACAACCACTCTTTACACCATTGACTGGGGCAGGTAGGTCGCTGCTTGCACAGGTGATTTCTGATAATGCAAACTAGAAAATCTGTGTCTCCAGGATATGAGGATAAACTGGTATACAAAGCATACACAGAATGTATAATTGTACATGATTCTGACTAGGTTACACTTCAGTAGTAGGCCCTACTGCCGATACCAAGTCACACTGATGTGATCTGCCTATGCATAGGAACAGAAGGTTTTGCATTTGTATTAAAAATAAAAACACCATCACCCTATCTCTGGTCTACAGCCTCAGTCTCACAAAAAGTATAAATTTTGGGGAAGAGCAGCAGTCTTTTGATCTGATGCAAAGATCTGTCTCCATTTCGTGTGCTCAGGTTGCAATTTTGCCAATGTACAAGTCATTCACAAGCACAGTCATAAGTGACTTTGAAGGAAAGTTCACGAAGCAGGGGAAACAGCGACAAAGGGTCAAAAAGCGTGGCTTCATTTCCACTGAGTAGTCTGGACTGTTGACGTGAAACTGGTTGACTTGTGATGGAAATTGATGACTGTGTTGACTTGTAATGCTTCCACTGAACG